TTATGGTTATGGTTATGGTTATGGTTATGGTTATGGTTATGGTTATGATCAGTGAGCTCCCATAACTCACTTGTGAAAAAGACACCGTCAGTTCAAATCTGATCTGTTTACCTGCTGAGGTGCAGTGATTCCAGCTCAAGGCTCCAACTACTGACAAATGGCCAAGCATGTTTCTCAGCTGCTTTTTAGTGATCACATCCCATAATCGGAACAACAACAACAACAACAACAACCAAGAGAGTCCATAACATTGTCTTCTTCTCAGCTTGCCATGTTCTCAAAGACCTCAGAGCAAATAATTAGATACAGGCAGTGTGTTATAAACTAAGAAAACGCAGTACTACTAACTCTAATGACTGTCCTGCCCTGACTGCATGCTGGGGCCCTGGGAAGAATATTGTTCCATGTCAGCAGGTTGTGGTGTTGATTGTGAAGCACCTGAAATGAATTTAATGTGCAGCCAAGCATTGAGAACCATTATTGAGCTTCTAGCCCCTGGGAAATATCATGATCAACCTACAATTCCAACAAAGATACCTGTTGAGTATTTCTCATCCAAAACTTCAGGAATAAGAAGGGTTTTGCTTTTTGGAGCTTGGGAATTATTTGTATGTAATATACCAGTTGTATAGTCTTATTCCAAAATGCTCTACGATGCTCTGAGGTCCACAGCATTTGTATTCGTCTGTGTGGATAAAATGAGGGTGCATGAACACGTGGGAGAGTCAGAACTCAGTTTGCTCCTGAGACTCCATTCTTGCCTGGTACAGAAGACAGTGTGCCGCAAAGGAGGAAGACTAACTGTGGAATAAGACAGCATCATGATGTAGCCCGGCCTCCAAGGTTACCTAGCCCTTGGGCAGCACTCTTTAGGCTGCTAAAAAGCAGTCACAGTGATGGTGACCTGAGGAATTAGACTGACAGACACTTGGTCATCTCAGGCAGCCTATGGGGAAATAAAAGTCATCTTACATCTCTCTACGCCTAGCACAGCTTCAGGTGAACAACATCAGAATAAGCATATTCCTCTCTTCTGGGTTCCCAAACTAGAGGCTTTGTAATTCCAAGTTGAATTAGAAAGATTTTTTTAATGAAATATAACAGGAAGATTGTTTGGGAAATGAAAGAAGGTACCTTTAAGTCTCCAAGAAATATCATTTGAAAGAAAACTATTTGTGTTCCCTTGCTTCCTGTAGCTCCACAGACCTCACTTAACCTCATTCCTCTCTACTGATATGCTGAAAGTTATCTAGTAACTGCGCAGAGGACCTGCACTTCTCCCTCGCTGGTGCCAACAGCCAGGCATGATCCCTCTCTCATCCAGAACACAGACGACACATAATGACAAGAGACACCTAAGTCTATGTTTTCCTTCCAACTGTGGTTTTGCTCATCCCAGATGTATACAGAGGATCCAAGGGCTATAGCGATGAGATTTTGAGAATTCCGGTCCAGGATATTGAGATTTATGAGGAAACAAACCGAAATCAGCATGATCGTGCATCCAAATGGAAATATTTTCAAATTAACAGCTTTAAAAGGAAGGGAGAGAGAGAGCAGCAATACCTTTGCTGTGAACTGATGCCAAATGAAGTCCTGAACCAAATCAGATCATTGAAAGTTCAAAGTTTAAAAACTGAAACAGACTCTGGTTCAAGACTCAGTCTAATGAGCAATGTTAAGCATCTATGCTCAAAAAACCTGTGTAAGAATATCTTTTTTTTTTTACTTAGTATGTTGATCCACCATGGTGAATACAGACGCATCTTACCTAATAGAGCTCTAAAAATTAATGCCACATAATTTTTATAAAAATATGGACCTGTCAAATCTATATGGGAAATACCGCCATCATTTCTACAAAAAAAAAAAAAAACAAGTTAAGTGTTAAAGCAATTGTATGAGTAGCAGTTTCTTGTCTATCCCAGTGTAAGGAGCAGGCCCTTAAACAGCACCAATTCCATTTTGTAATAGGAAACTTGTAGAGACTAGTCTGGTACTTGTAAAGACATGTCTGGTACTTGTAAAGACACGTCTGGAAATGGTCAGAGCCCGGTGATAACCAGACACGAGTGGTTATCTGCTGTACACGTCACCAGTAACGCCAAATCCAACATAAAAGAGGAGCCCGTCCAGAGCACTTCATTCACACTTGTAGCCATGACTGACCAACGTGATCCTCAGGACAAAGCCTCCTAGGCACCCAGTCATCAAGGAGTTAACCGACAGACCAATGCCTCCAGCTTCTTCAAGCACCCTACAGAGGTCAAATTATCTAGAAGCCACAGCCTGACCCCGCCTTATCCAGACTCCGGATCTGAAACCCAAAACCAACTTAAGGACTCAGGTCGTATAATCCATGAATGAATGATGCATTTATTGCTATGCTTATTTCTTTGGTAATTAGCAACATATTATTTGTGTTCATTGTGCATGTTGTTAGAGGTAATACATAGGAAATGTGGCAATATCTTGTTGTAGCAATAACCTTAGCATTTCTGATAATATATTGCTTGCTGTGCATTATCATTAAAGAATAACTGAATCACAAAACCTCTGTCTCTTGGCTTACTCTCTCTTCCCTCTCGAGGAGCTGATGATCTCACAGTCAAATCCAGTATACGATCCCTGAGTGGAGCAGGATTTGTCGCTCCTCTTCCTGTGGGGGATTCTAACCCCTTATCCATAGCCTGCTCATGACAGATAAGAGTAGCCTGCTCGAGACACCCAGCTATCTTCCAAATAAATGAGACAAACTATAAGACTCATTTGATAAGCTTTGTAGCACAATAACTGAGAAGTTATCAATCTGTTCTAATCCTCTACACTAATCTGGCTACCTCCCAGACAAAAGTCCCAAGATACTTGTATTTTAATACTGAACCGGCTCTCTTTGCTTCAGATGTTTTTCCATGGGGTCCCCTGAGATCCCCTCTATGTAGTGTATCCTCTCTTCCTCCTATCTCTCTACCCCTCCCCTTGCTCCAGACAGCCAGGAAAAAGACAGATAAGGTCAAAATAAACATCTTTTGATAAGTTTTACTGTTGAGGGAAGAAAGGTGGCCTGCACGCTGTCCACATCCAGCCAACATCAGGGACAACCAGATGGCTAAAGGCCAGCATGAGAACACAATCAACAAGAGCCAGGGTAATATGGCACCACCAAACTCAGCTATCCTACTACAGCAAGCCCTGGATATCCCAACAGAGCCAAAGCACAAGAAAATGGCCTTAAATCCAATCTTACAAAGATGACAGAGGCCTTTAAAGGGGAAATAAATAAATCACTTAAAGAAATATGGGAAAATACAATCAGATGAAAGAAGTGAATAAAACTGTTCAAAATCTGAAAATGGAAATAGAAACAATAAAGAAAGCACAAACTGAGGGATTCCTGGAGATGGAAAACCTAGGGACTACAGGAACCACAGACACAAGCATCACCAACAGAATGCAGGAGCTGGAAGAAAAAAATCTCAGGCATGAAGGAAGACACGATTGAAGAAATTGGTAGATTAATCAAAGAAAATGTTAAATCTAAAAAGTTCCTGACAGAAAACATGCAAGAAATCTGGGACACTATGAAAAGACCTAACCTAAAAATAATAGGAATAGAAGGAGATGATTCCGAGCTCCAAGGCCCAGAAAAAATATTTTCAACAAAGTCATAAAAGAAAATTTCCCCAACCTAAGAAGGAGACGCCTGTAAACATACAGAAGCTTACAGAGCACCCTAATTGGTCATGACAATAAATTCTCCGGGGGAAAGAGCTCTGAGCATGTGCTGATGGAGAACTACACCCTCTGCCCATTCCTCTTTGTGGGTGTTTCCCTCCCTTGCCAGGGGAGCTGACCCTTGCTCTCAACCTAATCATCCACCGTACATGCCAGTTCATACTTTATTCTGCCCTCTAACTTGACTGTCACTGGTCTGCCAAAGCTCCTCCATCACGCCAACTTATTTCATGAGGAATTTGAAGCAGTTTTCTCTCCACAAACCGTCTTCCTCTGCTTCACAAACTTGTAACAACACTAAATTCATTCTTGATTCTTTGTTTTCTATATTTTATGATACACACACAGTGTAAACAGTCTTCATTCTTCTTAAATTTCTCTTAGTCAGCAAATTCCAAATTAAATTTCTACACCTGAGTCCTGAATTTCTTCACGACCTGCATCACCTCCCAGTGGCTCAGCTACAGACTTCGCTACGTTATCAGTAATTCTCAGCACACTGCCTTTGCTCATGCCTCATCAGCAGTGTTCTCATCGTCCCTCGACCCTTACGAGTCTGACCCATCTGCGATGATGCAGCTTCAGTCTGGATATCACTAGAGCATTTCTGATCTCACTGAGATCTATAACTCACTAGTTACGTTCTACATCGGCATACTGGCAGCCTGCTCTGTGTGAATCAGCACTGTCTTCCAAAATAAATTATGACAGGCACTTAACACACCAAATGTGACTGTTTTACTGATTGAACATATTCACGTTTAAAATCCATGTGTAAGAGTAGGTCAACATCAGTCTAGTTCACTCTGACTTAATAAAACAAAAATGTATTAGGGAGAAGCAATACTCATATGCTACCACCAACAATAGCCATTCCTAAAAATTAAAGTAATATCCAAAACATGCCAGTTGTATTTACTGTTACATAGTACGTTGTGTGGACAGAAAACATATAGGCCATCTAGCTCTTCTGGAAGCAGACTTCAGGTCTATGTCAGAGCATTGGCTGCATGTTGTTATTTCAGCTGCTGAACTGGTGGTCTAAGCAGTGACTTACAGTGGTCATTTCGAAGACCATTGAGATGAGTCTTCACCTCCGGTTGGCATATGAAATGGCGGACACTGCTGAATCTCCTAAGATAGAATTAATCTCTGGCTCTATCTCTATAGCCTGCAGGAAGCAAACAGTTCTTCACACCTCTAAGATCCCCCAGATACAGTATTTCTCCCATGGGTAGTAAGAGATTACAGATCGAGAAAGAAAGTAGACCCTCTGATCAAACTGTGATACAAAGAAGACAGGAGGAAAGAAAATACAGAAGGGTTCAGTGTGGACTTTGAATAAGAGTTAAAACTTATTTGGTGGCACTTTTCAACAAAGAGTACATACACGACAGACATAAACACAGACAAAGGTCTCATGAGGGATACACAGGGTACACTATCGAACTTGAAAATTCATTTTGTCCTTTGAGATTTTAAAAAGAAAGTGAATTTTGTATGTCTGCATATCCATCCCAGCCATGCTCACCTAGAAGACCTAAGTCTTCTCCTGTCTTTGTTCATAAGTAGTTGTTGATTTACCGATCTTAACCTTTTCTTTTACCATACTGTACTAGAACTACTACTTTTGGCTAATTTTATCCCTGACTATTTGGGCCCATGCCTCTGTCATTTGTTCTAAGTTTTCATCAAAAGCCCCACCAAGTCTAAACCACTGGCCACTATCTTCTCATCTCTAGCCCTCAATGCAAGAGTAAACTGATAATGACATAAAACTCAACAGGAAACAAGATAACAAGTGACTTGTGGTCTCTGTGACTAAATGGTTTCTGATAAAAGTTCAGAAGCTCACAGCACTATACCAAGAAAGCCAGTTGTTACTCATATGCCTGCCCTGGGGTTCACTATCAACACCTGCAACTGTCAGAACTGCAAGTGACTGAAAACATTCAGGCCTTCTTAGAAAAGGTTATAATTTTTTTTTAACAAAATCAATACTCAACACATTAATAACTGAGATTAGGATGATGTAGCTTCATATAGGGGGCTTGTCTAGCATGTAAAAGGACTTGCACTCAAGCCCCAACAGTGCACACACACACACACACAATCAATCAACCAATAAGAAGAACAATAACAAAGTTCTTATAACTAATAAGTGATAGGTGATTCTACTAAAGTTGTAGAATATAGAGTTAACATGAAAGTCTATTGCATTCTTATATGCCATCAACTGGAATTTAAAATTGAAAATAAATAGTATTTATATTATTAAGCCAGAATTTGAATGTTCAAGCATAAATCTCAAAAAGAAAAAAATGCATGTAAAATGTGTATATGAGTGGCTGGGAAGATAACTCAGTGGTTAAGAGCACTGACTGCTCTTCCGGAGGTCCTGAGTTCAGCCATCTGTAATGGAATCTGATGGCCTCTTCTGGTGTGTCTGAAGAGAGCTACAGTGTACTCACATACATAAAATAAATCTTTTAAAAAGTTTGTATATGAAAAATACATTTAAAACTTTGGTGAAAGAAAAAAAAAGAATATCTATCTGTGCAGAAAGGTTTATCTGTGCAGAAAGGTTTTGCACATAAAACATTACAGACACTCATTATGTCCTCCTTCCAATTCCTCCCTATTTGAGCAACAGAGTCAATGCAATCACAGTCAAACTCGGCAAGCTATTTTATAGATAGCGATAAAGTAATTCTAAGCCATATGGAGACACAAAGAGCAAAAGCAGTCAACACTTGCTAAAGGATAAGAAAGCGGCATGGCCAACATTACCCACCTCCAAGACTTACAACAAGCTGCAGTAACGGGGACCACGTGACTCTGACAGAAGACCCAACAAGCCTGACAGCATTGGATGGAAAGCCTGGAAACACTAACGCCCTCCTCTGGTTACCGAGGAAGGAACAGCAGCAGCGTGGTGAAGAAAGAGAATCCTTCAACCGCTTCTGCAACCACTGGATTCCATACATGAAAAACTGAATCTACACACAGACCTCGTGTTTTTCACAAACATTAGTTCAAAGTGGATCACAGACCACAACCATCACTCTCCTAGAAAACGGCATAGGAGAAATCCTGGATGAACTCGGGGTTTGTGGTTACTTTTTAGACAGAACACCAAGAACAAAACTCATGACACCGGACTTCGGTAAGATTTACACTTCTGTTCTGTAAGATATGATCAAGAGCTGAGAAGCAACATTTTCCACATTTGATAAAGGATTGTTGATTTTTCAAAGAGACTTTAAAGCCTGAACATACCCTATCAAGATGGCTCAGAAGATAAAGGTCCTAGCCACCAATCCTGACAACCTGAATTCAATCTACAAAATGAACATGGTGGAAAGAGAAAATCAATTCCCACAAATTGTATTTGAATTTTATGCCTTATAAAAGTGTTTTATACATAAGTTATGATATAGTTTATATATTATCTAAAGCATTAGAGTGAAAAGTCTCAAGGATTTTGTCTTAAGCTGATCAAATAGCATCTTAGAATACAGTTACTGCTGCTCAGATGAGTGAATGAGGGGACTGAGCTAGAGAATTCGTCGAGAGTGTGAGAGGTCTGGGGCCCCGCCACAAGCAGAACTTCAAAATGACTGGAGAAGGAAGCAGAGGGTTGCTGAGGCAGGACATCCTCCAGATACTTCACTCTGCTTTTTTTTTTTTTTTCAAGACAGGGTTTCTCTGTGTAGCCCTGACTGTCCTGGAACTCACTCTGTTGATCTTGCTGGCCTCGAACTCAGAAATCCGCCTGCCTCTGCCTCTGCCTCCCAAGTGCTGGGATTAAAGGCGTGCGCCACCACCGCCCGGCTCACTCTGCTTTCAATTTATTATTCAAAAAAAAAAAAAGGATAATTCCTCCTTCCATCAACAAGTCTACTTCTAGAGCAAACCCCCGCCCCCGTGTTCAAAACCTGAACTATGTGCTCATTTTTACATATCTAACTCTATTCCCCGCCCACACCCCCTTTTATCACCAGGAAATCTAGGCTTAAAAACTAAACACGTAGGAAGGTCTAGAAAATGAAGTTGTGTTTCTGTGAGTTTTTTATACAATGCCTAAAACTTTCAGAATTTTAATGAAAAATTAAGAGCACAGAAACAGAAGTGTTCCTCTTCAGAAGCGAGGCTCTCTCTCTCTCTCTCTCTATCTCTATCTCTATCTCTATCTCTATCTCTATCTCTATCTCTATCTCTATCTCTATCTCTATCTCTATCTATCTCATCTCTATCTCTATCTCTATCTCTATCTCTATCTCTATCTCTATCTCTATCTCTATCTCTATCTCTCCACATTTGTATCTGAGGTCCTCACGTCTACTGTCCTCGCTAACAGTGCTAGGGATGACACAGCACGGATGACATAGCACGTCAGAGAGAAGGTAGAGAGGAGAATGTGTGGGGAGCTTGGAGACAAACATTTCGTGTGTTCTAAACGTGGCCTGCTCTAAGAAGTTTTTGGAACCGTCCACAGCATTACCTGACTGAGCTGCAGAGTCACTCTGATCCACCTCCAACCCCCACCCCATCCTCGTTTTGGACCCAGCTGGCACACTTAAAAGTTGCAGAAGTGGATAAAGAGTAAAAAATACTTCAGGCCAGGCAGTGATAGCACATGTCTTTAATCCCAGCACTCAGGAAGCAGAGAGAGGCAGGTGGATCTTTGAGTTCAAGGCCAGTCTGATCCACAGAGTGGGTTCCAGGACAGCCAGGGCTACTCAGAGAAACCCTATTCAGAGAGAGAGAGAGAGAGAGAGAGAGAGAGAGAGAGAGAGAGAGAGGGAGGGAGGAAGGAGGAAGAAAAAGAAGAAGAAGAAGAAGAAGAAGAAGAAGAAGAAGAAGAAGAAGAAGAAGAAGAAGAAGAAGAAGAAAAGGAAAAAATGAATTCAGCACTAGAAAGCAGACTACAAGATTTTTCTGGATGGTAAACAAAGGGTTAATAATAGCTGACCACAAATAACATAAGAAAAAGAATTTTGTAAAGAAATTATCCTTTAAAAATTAAAATTAGGGTGCCCTAAGTGGCGGAACATGGCCTGTACCTCAGTACTCAGAAGGCAGAAGCAGGAAGATTGTGAATTGAAAATCAGCCTGTGCTACATAGAGAGTTTGACACTGGCCTGACAACATAGTGAAAGCTTGTCTCAAAAAAATTTTAAACTGAGATAGCCAAATTTAAATTTTAATAACAAAAATGGTAAGTAATTTTCCAGAGAAGAGATTAAAAACAAACAAAAAATTTTTAAAAAATAGAACAGAGAAGAAAAAGAAGATAGGAAAACCAATCCAGAAGTATCAATAATTAGTCTAAAATAGAAAGAGGTAAAAGAAACAAAAATGAAGAAATTAAGGAAGAATAACTGGAGAATTTTAGTGTATGTAAAGGACCACTGCATTGAGGTATGGCAGCCGACAGCCCCTGCCCCACTTTGCCGATAGCAGTAGGTGATTTGAGGGAACAGCACTAGGGCAATCAAGAATGCCTGCCAAGAATCACTGAACTCTTTCAACTGTTTAGGGATCTGTGAGAATAAAAAGGAAAGAAAATCATGTGTGAGCATGCATGTTCGTATGCCCATACACGCGCACACAACGCACACACACACACATGCTCAGCCAGGCCCAACCACCAGTTTCATCAATTTCGTATGTTCACATGCATATATATATATATATATATATATATATATATATATATATATGTGTGTGTGTGTGTGTGTGTGTGTGTGTGTGTGTGTGTGTGTGTAAGATAGACATATATACATATACACATACACACATACACATATACATATATACACATTTGGTGGATGGAGCAGAGCCCCAACAGCCACAATATTTTTTTCTCTCAGCCTTTTTATAACTTCTTAGACAAAAGTTCTTTATAAAGTTACCTCATAGATAAAATGTTACAGAAATGGGAGTTACAAAAGGATGTTGATAATAAGCTAAAAAGAAATGTTTCATTCTTAAGCTCATTATAAGTTCAAAGCAACAGTTTAACAGGGCCTTGCTTTATCATAGTGCACACCTGTGGCATCATCCTTGGACATGACCTAGAATGAATGTTTTTCCTCTATCACAAATCTGTCCCAAGCCTGTTTCTCTTCTTAGTGTAATTTATGAATGCTCATTGCATTCCTTATTAGGCAGCCTTTACTTACTATTCTATGAGGAGGGACACATTTATTCTTGATTCTAACTTTATTGCATCTTTCTGGCCAAACAACTAAAACTATCTCCTTAAACTTTCTTTCTAAAATTATTTTAATCAAATCAGAAATTCTTTAGTCATTAACTCATTTAAACAGCATTATTATGTGAAAACGCATCTTCATACTGATCTGCAGGAAATTTGTCCAATAGTGAGTGCTGATGCCCAGGAACCATTAGACTATGTAATAGTGGCAGGAAAAGCATATAAGCAGTAAGAAACAATACTGAGATAAAGTCTCTGGGGTTCCTGCCTCACAGAGCACACCCGTTATAGCTATGCAGAACAGTGGGTCATGACCAGAAAACACATTTGCTTGCCATATCCTTTCCTACATGGCTGGAGCCAGCCCACCAAATGTTGCCTTTTAACATACAATGAAATGTAGATGAGTGTTAATGCCAAGATTTATCACTCTGAAATTCCAAAACACTGGTGATAGGAGACGCTGTTCACAGTGGCCAGAGGGGAATTCGGGTGGCATACAGAATACAAGATGTCAGAACAGGATGACCCTTCTCAACACACGAGAGCTGGGAAACACAGTGTCCATAATGCTGAGTAAAACTGAGATTTACAGCCAGTCAAACTATGGCTCAAATGTGAGTGTCATTGAGATTTACAGAAATAGTAGATCTAGTGTCAGAGAGAGAGGAGTCCCAGGATTATAGCTCTGCAGCTGGCCAACTGAGCAGCCTGTCCTTCAGATTGTCAGAGGAACACCAAAAAGGGGAGTGGAGTCAGCAAATGCATGGTCACGTTATCAGTAGTGAGAAGCAACCTGGATCTCAATGGATCTCAATACACAGCTTTGTAGACGTGTTAAATAAAAACAGAAAGGCCAGCAGGTGAAACAGAGTCCGACTAGAGGCGGAGGCTGCCTACGGTGAATACGGTTATATGATGACACAATGTGGACACTGACTAGTGAGTCTGGCTTGGTGTTGCAAAGTGTAATGGAAGCACATCCAGAAACCAAAGAATCAATGAGGCAAGAGGGGACCTGAGTTCTGTTCAAGGGTTCCCATAAAGTCTAGATTCATAAGGAATGGCCATCTACCAATGTTACAGAGGAAAGCATAGCGAGTACTGAAGGGAGAACTAAGAATGATAACCTCTAGAAAATCTGACTTAGGAGTGAAGGTGGCCAGAGCAGAGAATTATGGGAGTTATCCAAATTGTATAATGATGCTGACTTAGTCTAAAGACTATAGATAACATTTTAAGGTAGAGAAGGAATGAACGAGAAAGGGACGAAGGACAGCTAGAACAACAGACAATGGGAGTCTCTGCCGCATACCTGTCCAGACACACTGAGACTCCTCGCAGAGACACATTTTCCCATCGATTTGCTGAACTCCCTTCTGGGTTGAAAATAGCTGGTTTGGGCATTTCTGGAAACAAATGCACCAAAAGAACACGTCTTTAGGAGCACACAAGTGCATCTCAGGTGTGATGGATGGGAACACTGCAGCTGAGCGTTCACTAGAGAGGTCAAAGCTCTCACAGTGTGATGACCAGTGTGAGAATCTTACAGATTATTTTTAACCTCAGCAACCCCATATAGCAGGCATTACTAAGCTAAACTAAAAGCCTTTCTTTATTCTTCCAGGCCAAACACTGACTAAATAAACAGTCCTATCTCAAGCCAATAGCACCTTTACTCATGAGAAATGGGAATATCCAACTTCAAAGAGCTTAAGAAAATTCTCTAACTTTCCATAAACACAAAAAGACAATTGCTGTTTTATTGAGACAGTACATAGAATATTCTTCTGATATCTTTTTGCCCAACTTGGATCAAAAATAGGTAGAAAATTTAAAAATAAATGCAAAGAAAAGTATGGATTGACATCTTCAAAATATCTAAAGACAAGTAAGTAAAGCAGAGAAGATTCCTTTTTGTTCTCCACAGCCCAGAAATAATTCTCTTTATAAGCTTGCTTTAATATTTTTATTTCCTCCACTGCGACAATGTGATGTGACGGAAATATCGCTTATATTCTAAGAGACTGAAACTTTTGTTGGACCTCACAGCCAGAGTTACTAATGCACCTTGAAACCACTTAAGACTGCTAACCTACTGTGTGCTCAGCCTGTTTGTTTAACCTCCCTTTAAGAGAACAGTGTAACAGTTAACCTTACTTGCCTTGGGTTTCCCATGTAATCAACTTTGACAACCTGATCTAATGTATAACTCTAATCTTAAGTGAGATAGTACTCTTCCATACCCCTGACCCAGAGAAATGTGTGTGTGTTACAATAATTATTTTCTGGAAACAACAAATAGAGTCTTAAAACAGCCTTATAAAATTAATATCCACCATAAGTATTGGTTGCAACATACAGATATTGTTTGGTAGATAAAGTTTGTAGTACTGTTTGTTATCAGGGTCAGTTATGAAACTCTGTTAAAGATTTCTGTTCAGCATCTACATTCCTTCCCAATGAGATATGTTCTGTACTGTTCAATAAGGAAAAAAAGGAAAACCTTTGCTAGAGACACACATTCAGACATTCATAAAGACAGACAGACAGGCAAGCAGGCAGACAGGCAGGCAGGCAGGCAGGCACAAATTCAGTCATATAACAGACAGACAAGATGGGTGGAAAACACAGGGATGGTGAGTGGAGAATTCAAATCTGAGTTCACTCGTGGTTAAATAATAAGAAGGAAGTGCTTTGACATCTTTCCTTGATGTGACATTGACCCATTATTGAAGACAGTGCATCAAATGCACTCCCTCCTCAGTTTATCAAAAGATAACCTTGCCATCCAACGAGTCATGGCTTTTGTGTGTATTCAAGATAAAACAAGTGACTGCAAAGCAGTTTCTCAACCCCTGCACTATTGGTATTTCAATGCAGGTAGCTCTATCTTGTTTGGGGCCTGTCTTATGCTTCAGTGTGTTTACAGCATAGCTGGCCTGCACCCACTATAATGCCCTTCCCCAGAGTTATGACAGTGGAAAACACCACCAAATATGTTGTGGGACATAAAATAGTCCTCAGCTAAGAACCACTGATATAAGCCGGCATCCCTAACACATCCTCCTGGTCAGGAGCTCAACGCGGTGTCTCAGATGTAATAGACTTTATCAACTCATTTCTTCAAAACCCATATAATCCCAGAGCTGAAAAAGGATTTGTCTAGCACATGTTTCCCTTCTTGGTACCCATGAGTTCCCTTCTTATGTGGAATCTATATTATATTTAGTGAATATAATATAGTAGTGACTTAGGACCAGCCCAACTAGTGTGAGTTCTAGAAGTTTCAACAACTACTCAGGCTCTTGTTGTGGCAACACCTCCAGCAGATCATAGAAAGATGACACACACTTCCTGCTGCACTGTCTTCACCACTCTGAACACTATCTGCCTACCACCTAACCATGACAACAGATGCTCACTACCATGTGGTACCACTATTTCCATGATCCTCTCCCAGATTCTTCAGTGACACTGGGCTTCTGTTTAACAACAGCTTCAAGAGATGACTTGCCAAATCCGTTGTGTGTCCACAGAGCCATCAACATTACTGCTAACAGTATGGATAAGGGGGCAGAAAAGTCCTAAGGGGCTGGGCAGTGACAGTCTAATTATCAGTAGAAGGTGAGAAGACAGTAGTGTTAACAAGTTAGCCCAGGCATGAGGCCCAGCAGCACCCCTAAGGAGTTCATAGAACTCCCTGACTTTGACCAACACCCATCCCTTTGGGTGGATCACACTCAACAAGAAAGCATGAATGAAAGACATGTTTTGTGTACTTGCTTCCTGGGTCATATGAGATCAAGTAGTTAGAATTTATACTCACAGTATGTTCTTTCTTCTTGCACAGCACGTACACTAAGCACAGAAAGAGACACACACTAGATGAATAGTCTTGACTGAAGTGTACTCTTGTGGCTTCCCTAGTTTAAAGCCTTTGGGGTAAAACAGTGCTTCCTTCAGAAGCTAGTCACTGAACTTGGTAAACCTAAAAACATGTTACTGGCATGTAGTGTGCACAAAAGACCTAGAGTGAACTCCTGGGATCTTAAAATCATAAGAAGAGATCCAAAAGAAGAAACTCAACACACAAACAACTGCAAAGGCTTACTGAAAAATATTCATTTACAAATCTTCTAGAGCAGTGGTTCTCAACCTTCCTAATGCTGAAACACTTCAATATAGTTTCTCATGTTGTGGTGACCCCCAACCATAAACTCTCTTTTTGTTACTTTATAATTTCACTATTGTTATTCATTTCAATGTCAATATCTGCTATGTAGGATATATGATATTCAACTCTGTGAAAGGGTTTTTCGCCCCCCCCAAAAGAGTCATGCCCCTCAGGCTGAGACCCACTGGTCTAGAGCATAGCTTCTATCTTCCTCTTGTCCTATGGGGGATCTTTTGTTAAGTGCCTCTGTTCATGTCCCTCATTTGTTCTGTCCTTTCTTACTGGTTCCTGATGGCACATAGGCACTGCCCACCACACACACCTTATATTCAAAATTTGGTTTTCTGAGCTTTTCTGTCTTCTCTCTCTGCCTACCTGGCTTTTGGTGGCAACATTTTCCTTCCAGTCTCTGTCCCCTGCAAGAGGTGTCTTGCAAAACCGAAGAGTGGAGTTATTCACTTCAGAACTTCCTTTACCTGGGGTTTTCAGTGAATCTTTGTTGTGGAATCCTGCAAGAAAGACATTTAGCTTTGATTTTTTAAAATAAATAAATAAATAAATAAATAAATAAATAAATAAATAAATAATGTAGTCCCTTGAATTACTGACCTGTTGGCCACGGCATCTTTCTCAGTAGATTAGAAGGTGAAGGCCTGAATTCTCTGACAAAATTATTGGAAAAAGAAAGGGAAATGGACAAGAGCCTTACTTAAAGCACTGGGCTCATGCAAGAAACTACCTCAGTGGCCTCAGTGGCCTCTAGAGCCAGAACAAATGCCAGAGTTAAAGGCCTGATTCCATCTCCAGCAGAAGCTGCAAAAACACTAAAACAGAATTTCAGAATAGGTAAAAATGCTGCAAGGAGCATCTTGTCAAGCTAAGATCATCCCGCTCATCACTGTAGGATGTTTGCGTTACCACTTATTGGTCTTCACTACATGGTTCTTAGGGCATCACTTTGTCTTCCTTCCTGTTACAGAAAGATGTCTTAAACGTATTTGGAGATAGCAACAGTACAGTACATTCTAAGAAAACAGAAGTCAATGTTATTTACATCCGTATTTTTCATGTTTTCTGTGATGGTTTAGCTTTAGTTGTCAACTTGTCAAGTCTAGAATCACCCAGGAAGAGAGTGGGGACTTGTCTGCATTAGTTGGCCTGTGGTGTGCCTATAGAAGACTATCTTACTTAAGTTAATTGGTGTGGGAATGCCTAGCCCACTGTGGGTAACACATTCCCTATGCAGGGGATTTTGAACTGTATTTTAGTAAAGAAATGGAGCCAAGCACAAGAAAACGAGCAAGTAGGCATGAATGCATGCGTGCATTTATTCCCTCTCTGCTCTTGGATGTGATGTCACTACATGCCTCAGGTCCCTGCCTTCACTTATCTGAAATGATGGAGTGTAACCTGGAACTGTAAGTCAAATAAATTCCTCCTCTACTAAGTGGTTCTTTTGCCAGAGTATTGTCAAATAGCAGAAATGAAACTAAAATATATTCTATCAAATTGAGAAAGCCCTTCACCAAGCTTTTCACTTCAAAGAAGTACCTGTCAAACCAACCTCAAAGATTACATATCTACAATATATATCAAAAACTAAATATCCACCATATATATCATCTGGACCAGAAAAACTTGACCTTTCAATGTGTGCCAATCTTTTTTGTAAAGAAAAGGCTAGGTCTCAGATATTCAAAGGAAAAGGGAAAGCTATGATTAAAGCCAGCCATATGGCTTTATGGATGAATATACTTGTCAGGAAAGCCTGACCACCTAAGTCCAATCCCTAGAACCCACATAAAGGTGGAAGAAGAGAAGCAATTCCACAGAGTTGTCCTCTGACCTCCATATGCATACCATAAGTACATGGTACACCAGAGAGAGAGAGAGATTGAGAGAGAGAGAGAGAGAGAGAGAGAGAGAGAGAGAGAGAGAGGAAGAAGAAGAAGAAGAAGAAGAAGAAGAAGAAGAAGAAGAAGAAGAAGAAGAAGAAGAAGAAGAAGAAGAAGAAAGAAATGGAAAGTAAGGAAAGGGAGGGGAAAGGAGAGAGAACAGAAACGAGAAAGGTTGAAAGGCAGGAGATCATGTTGCATGGGGCCTTTTTATTTTTTATTGGATATTTTATTTATATTTCAGATGTTATCCCCTTACCACATCTCTCCCCCCCCGCTGCACCCAGGAACCCCCTATCCCATCCCCCCTCTTCCTGCTTCTATGAGAATGTGC